GGGATGGAGTGGCGGGGCCGGGGCAAAAGGAGGACGGGGAAGGGAGGAGGGGAGACGAAGTAATAGGCAAAGAGATGAGGCAATGGATGAGAAGAGGCCAAGGTGTCCGTGTAGATTTCATAAATGGAGGAAAGTGAGGTCGCAAGTGAAAAGAAATGGGGTAAAGATAAGGACACAGCTAGTTCTTGGCTCCCTTGAGCCACTCTTGCCGCGGCACGTGACGAGATAAATGCGGTAAATTGAAGTTCCTACCCGTAACAGTTGATAATTATAGCAGGTAACTTCAATTGTTGGGGAAGAGCTCGGCTGCAGGCCGTTTGGCAGAATCGCCTAGCATTCGGCGATCACCCGTACCCCCCTCCCCCCTCCTCTCTGACCTGTACTTCACCACAGGCCACAAACCATCCGCATATCACTAACATATACAGAAAGAAAATTGATCAGCACACAGTCAAACACTACAACCTCGGATGAAGCGCTTCCTGGACTCCTCACCTCATACATAACCTATTCCAAGATGCCTCCCCCCGCCCCCTCTTCCCCACACTTCTCTGCTCCTTCACGCCCACAACCCTCGGATCAACTGGCTTTCCCGATGGGCTGAGCTATGAGGATGGAGCAACCGTGCACGGCTACAACGCGGACACTATGCAAATGGCCGTCCCAGAAGCGGTTCCGTTGCTCGGGTAGTTTCGGGTGAGGCAAGGGGCTGTGGCGTCGGTAGACACCGCAAGCGTCTCTGCGGGGGGATGAAGGGCGCGATGGCAAGCGGTTAGGTGCCATTGCCCGAATAGTTTGGGGTTTCAGTGTGCCCTGTGAAGGATGCTGACACTGAAAGACGGCCAGCTGTGGCAAGCGACCAACACTCATTTGCTGGTCATATATGGTGACGAGTCGCTGGCCGAAGAGGACGCATTCGCGCAGCTGTGCTCGCTCTATCTACCGCACATCACCCAAACAGACAAGGTAACTACTGGCCTGCTCGTAACCAGTCAAAACGGGATGCAATAACAGCTGACAAGACTCTCGATGCCTTCTTCTGCTCGGGATTGTACAGAAGCAAACTAATGACGGATTGAATTCCTCGAAAAAAGTGAAAGGATCGTAGAGGGATTGATTATCCAACTGGTGCTGCTAAATCCCCGAGTGTTCGTATGCTTGTCGTTACAGCAAATAGGCCTTGGAACCCAGGTAGCAACGCATCAGACATACTGGTGGTATAATCATGTGTTTACGCGTGATTCTTGAAGCAGTTGGATCGTTAACAGTATAAATGGTCGTTGCTTTACAGTTTAGCAGATGCACTCATGTTGGCAATATTTCGGACTTTCCGTGCGTGCAGGAAGAAAAGGGTGTCAGCTCGGGCCGTAGTGTTGCATAACCAGGCCGCGTGAAATCTTAACCTCCAGCATATATGATTGTCGTGAAATTTGGGCAAAATGCATCCTTAAATTTGCCCTAGTTGTGCGGATGATAGGCATTTGTGTAAGTTGTTTTTACGTTTTCAGTGACGTTCGGGATATGCCAGCATTTCCATAACCTTTCTGCATTTCTTACTATCTGATTACCAAGGGAGAAAGATAACAAAGATGTTGCAGTTTGAATATTTGACGTATCCATACGCCAGAGTACATGCGGAACGCACAAAATTTTGGGATTCCTTTTTAATCTGGTCGGGGAGTAAATAAGTGTCAAAACTGTCCAAAATTGATACTTTGCTTACGTGTAATGGTCATGACCTAGGCGTGCCATTCTGATCTTCAAGTTACATGGAGGCGTAGAATATCCTTTTCTGTGTGCAATTTTGAAATTTCTGAGTTACGTACGTCCGGATCTCACAAAGGGCACGTTAAAGTATTGGCCGACCAGAACCTCCTACGATTTCTGCAGATCTCAAGCAGTAAAGCAGTGAACATTTTTAACAACAT